GTGGTATGGGGTGAGTGAATAATGGTGGCAGGGGGTGAGTGGATAATGGTGGCAGGGTGGTATGGGGTGAGTGGATAATGGTGGTATGGGGTGAGTGGATAATTGCGGCAGGGTGGTATGGGGTGAGTGGATAATGGCGGCAGCGTGAAATGTGGTGAGTGGATAATGGCGGCAGGGTGGCATGGGGTGAGAGGATAATGGCGACAGGGTGGCATGGGGTGAGAGGATAATGGCGACAGGGTGGTATGGGGTGAGTGGATAATGATGGTATGGGGTGAGTGGATAATGGCGGCATGGTGGCATGGCGTGAGTGGATAATGGCGGCAGGGTGGTATGGGGTGAGTGGATAATGGCGGCAGGGTGGTATGGCGTGAGTGGATAATGGCAGCAGGGTGGTATGGGGTGAGTGGATACAGCGCTCCTGAATATGTTGGTGCTTTAATAGTAATGATAATGGTATCGGTGACATTGACATAAACTATTAGGGCTTAAAGTAATTGGTAGGGATAAGATGGCAGTGGGAGAATAATAGTGGAGATAACGGTGAATGTGGTCCAAGGAAAATGAGGGATATTGCTGGTGGCGATGACACGAGGTAATGACGCTGGGCATGAAACAAGGTGAGTGGATAATGGTGGCAGGGTGGCATGGGGTGAGAGGATAATGATGGCAGGGTGGCATGGGGTGAGAGGATAATGGTGGCAGGGTGGCATGGGGTGAGAGGATAATATGGGGTGAGAGGATAATGGTGGCAGGGTGGTATGGGGAGAGTGGATAATGGTGGCAGGTTGGTATGGGGTGAGAGGATAAAATGGCGGGGTGGCATTGGGTGAGTGGATAATGGTGGCAAGGTGGTATGGGGTGAGATGATAGAATGGCGGGGTGGCATTGAGTGAGTGGATAATGGTGGCAGGGTGGTATGGGGTGAGTGGATAATGGTGGCAGGGTGGCATGGGGTGAGAGGATAATGGTGGCAGAGTGGTATGGGGTGAGTGAATAATGGTGGCAGGGGGTGAGTGGATAATGGTGGCAGGGTGGTATGGGGTGAGTGGAAAAAGGTGGCAGGGTGGTTTGGGGTGAAAGGATAAAATGGCAGGGTGGCATGGGGTGAGAGGATATAATTGGCAGTGGTATGGTGATGGATAAAATAGCAGGAAGTACTTTATGGTGAAGAGATAATGGTAGCAGGGTAGCATGGTGATGAATAATGTTAGCGCCGGTGGAAGTGGATAATGAGTGGTATGGGGTGAGTGGATAATGGTGGCAGGGTGGTATGGGGTGAGTGGATAATGGCGGCAGGGTGGTATGGGGTAAGTGGATAATGGCGGCAGGGTGGTATGGGGTAAGTGGATAATGGCGGCTGGGTGGTATGGGGTGAGTGGATAATGGCGGCAGG